AATTTTGAAAGAGAGTTTTGAAAGTTACATTAATCTGGGTTAGAGGTTCTTTTGTTTTAGGCCTGGAAATGCTTCACTCCAGTCTTTTCTTTTTTCTTTCTTTCTCTCTCTCTCTCTCTCTCTCTTTTTTTTTTTTTTTTTTTTTTTTTTTTTTTTGCTATCATGGATTGTACTTGGGTCCTTTGCGCTTGCTTGTGAGGCAGGCAGCAGAACCACTGAGCTAAATCCACGGCCCCTTTCTTCTTTTTGAAAAAAATTCTCAGTTTAAAAACTGGGAATTTCTATTGATCTATCTTCAATTTCACTGATTATTCTTTTTCTGAGAATTCACCTGTTCTTTTGACCCACTTAGTTTTTGTTTCAGTGTTTGTTCTTTTTTATTTTGTGTATTTCTGTTAGTTTTTTTTGTAGTTTTATTTTTCTGTTGAGATTCATTATTTACCTATCATTAATTCCATGTTTCCCTTAATTTTTTAAAAACGGTTTTATTGGGAACCACTTCTAGTTGTTTCAAAGCCTAAGGCATCTGAGTACTTATAAGGACATGACTCCGCTGTCTAGCACATGTGCACAACAGGGCACACTTATGTAAGCATGTGTGACTTAGCATAGGCTACCACCACATGGCAGTTATATAAGGACACAGTGACACAAGGCTATGTATCAGCCTATATAAGGGCTGAGGAATAAAGATGCTTTCTGTTGTTGTTGTTGCTAATGTCATCTCCATGTGCTTTTACTTGGAGATTTCACCTGTGAAAATACCCTTTCAATCCCCCAACCCCAACAGTTTTCTTATAAGATTTGCTCATGTTTAGAACATCTGTTTTGAAATCCTTGATTTTGAAATGCAACATCTGTACCCACTTGGAGTTAATTTTTTTTTTATTTATTTTTGGTACTGGGGATGGAACTTGGGTCCTTATGCTTGTGAGGCAGGCAGCAGAACCACTGAGCTAAATCCCCGGCAAAGTATACAGGTTGATTTCTTTTTTTTTTTTTTTCTTTTTTTTTAATACCAGGGATTGAACTCAGGTCCTTGCACTTTCAAGGCAGGGAATAGAACCACTGGGCTAAATCCCCAGCCCCCACACTGCAATTCTTAGGCTGAACACACCCATCTGCCCAAGAGATGAAGAAAACAGATGCTTCACTTTTCCAGAAGAGTTTCTTTGCCAGTCTGAGTGTTCACACCCCAATTACTACTCTGATCCCTCCACTACAAAGCTGAAGTTAACTCAGACTCAAGACCTCTTTCTTCTATGTTGCAGGCATTCTGCAGAGTTTCAGTCAGAGTTATTGAATTAGGAACTCTTGTTGTCCCTTTCCTTGAGTGTGAAGGAATCGGCAGACAAGTTCACCACTGGCACTAAATTGTCCATCAAGTCAGAATTAATCGTATGTAATCATTTCAACTACAGCTGTACAGGATAATCCACTACAATATTATATATCATGGCTAGTTGAGAAATAACATACCATATGACCCTGTTTTTGGTCTCCCATTAGCCACGGGAACTTGGCACCAGTGTGAGCCTCCAGTCCAGCGTAACTCAGGTTGAAACTGATGTCTAATCACAGGACCAAATCTATCATCATTAGTCCCTGCTTCTTCTCAGAGGGACTCCCCCTCAGTCTCCTCTCCAACTTTAGCCAGTCTCCTATGATCATCCTTCCCTTATTCACTCTGGGAACTTGACAGTGTGAAGCCACCAAGGGGCTGTTTTGGACCTGATGTTCACACACTCAGCCTTTCCTCACACTGGCGTCCTTGCCACCTCCTGCTCTGTGCGTCTGTGACCTGGGGTACTTGTACTGCAATTTTACCAACTGTTATCTCTGGAGTGTCACTCTGGAAGGAGTGCCACGCTGGAAGCAGTGCCTTGCGTTCTGGAGCATTGTCTCCCAACTGCATAAGATTCTCCTGGTCCTGATGCAATTCTCTGTGAGCAGAGAATTTATTAGTTTCGCTTTGTGTTTCTGCTGGCAGTCAACCACCTGCCATTGGCAGCACCTTGGTTTTTCCTCTCTGGCATGGGTCACCTCTTCTGTATCACTTAATCCTATTTTCTTTTCCTCTGTTAGTTCTCTCCCTATTCCTGTGTACTCTCTCCTTACTTTGGTTCCTCTCCAAGTCACTATCTTTCAAACTCCAGATACTTTGTCCTGGAGAAGCCAAGCTGCTGGTACTTACTGCTCTGCCATCTTCTCTTCCACTGCTACTTTTTTTTTTTTTTTTTTTTTTTTTTTTTTTTTTTGAGATAGGGTCTCACTATGTAGTTGAGACTGACCTGGAACTCACTATGTAGCCCAGGCTGGTCTCGAACTCACAGCAATCCTCCTGACCCTGCCTCCCAAGTGCTGGGATTACAGGCATGCGCCACCACACCCAGCTCCACCGCTATTCTTGATTTACTTTTAAACATCATTGGTTTCATAGTACAAAAGATGGGAATTTGATTTTCTTGATACTCAAAGGGTCAGGATGGTAATTTTCACAATATGCCAACATATTATTTTGATTAAAATAGTACTTAATATTTGCCATATTTTATGCAAAGTATGTAACTGTTGTTCATAGTGACCCATTGTTTGTAGTGAGCCATTATACAACTCTTCTGTATAAAATACTGTAGTATTTTCTTTTTTCCTCGTAGTCACACAGTTCTCCATGTAATTTTAGGATGTGTTTGTCTAGTTCTGTAAAAAATGTCATTGGGGTTTTGTTTAAATTTATTTACATGAACTAATTTTAAACTACACACCTAAAATATACTAGCATATAAAAATAAGTTATTTAGTCAGTTCAGTTTAGAGTCTTGATGATATTGAAGGAATGGAAATAATATTTCTAGGGTATATTTTAGAAATTCTTGCTCTTATTCTACCTTTTTAATGGTTCTCTAGAAGTTGATGAGCATGTAATAGTTTTGAAGTGTTTTCTTTCTTACCTTTTTTGGTGTGGGATTTGTAGTTGTGTACAAATTATATACACTAACTTTTCTTTCTTCACAGGCCACAGAGACACTATTTAGAATGGGGGTGGCAAGAGGAACCATTACAACATTAAGAAATGGAGAGGTAAGATGAAAATTTTTATGTAATTATTTGTTGCTAATGAGTAGTTTGCATTTTTCAAAGAATAAAATCTCATAAATTCTATGGTGCTTTGTGTGACAAGTAGAGAAATACTTCATGTAAATAAGATGGAATGGACCTGATGTACAATTCTGTTTTAGTTCATAGTTTATGGAACCAAATCTTTAAGTGAAAGTAAATTGCTGAGTCTCTTAATCTTTGTGGTTACCAGTTATCTTTACTATTAAGAGAACATCATATTTATTAATAACTTGTATAAGTCAAGCGTGGTGGGACATGTATGTGATCTCATTGCTTTGGGAGTCTAAAGCAGGATTCCATATTAAAGCTCAGCCAAGGCAACTTAATAGTTCAGTGAGATCCTGTCTGAAAATTAAAAAGAAAAGAGGGCATTATAGCTCAGTGTGAAGGACTTGGGTTCAGTCCCCAGGCCTTATTTATTTCATTTTATTTATATAGAATTTATATTTATTTCTTAGGATAAAATGGTATGAAATATTAATTTTTACCATTTTAGAGATAAAGAGGGAGAGAATTCTATCTGCTTTGTATCATTGAGGTAGTATTAAGATCTAAAACCTGAGGTTTGACTTTATAAATGCTCCTGTCTATTCTTTAAAAAACTGTCAATCACCTTTCCATTTCAAAGTTAGTATTGGCCTGATTATCATTCTGGCCCTTTATTTATTTATTCCTTTACTAAGACATTCTGTATTTAGATTGATGTTGAATGTAATTTATGCTGCTATATTCTTTTTTTCTATTCTACAAACACTTTGGAATAAAATATATGGTACTTACTTACTATTCTGAAATTAAGTTGTTACTTAATGCAAAATTTATAATTCAGTAACCTAAATATTTAATAGTAAGTATAAGTGACTAAGGAGTGAAGTAAATTGTATTACTGTTTGTATATTTTATTGGTTTATAGTATTTGCTCATCATACATGTATAAATATGCCAGCATTTAAAAAGTAATACACCATTAAATATTTAATTTTATATTGGAAAATTACTATTATAATTTTAAGCATATATTTTTACTTATAAAGACATCTGATTCTTTAGTATTTTCAACAAATTGTTGTGCTTTGTTGAGAAAAGAAAATTTTACCAGTAATAAGGTTAAAGATATTTATATGCCTAGGGCCTGGGATTTAGCTCAGTGGTTCGGTGGCCTGCCTTGCAAGTGCAAGGACCCGAGTTCGATCCCCGGAAAAAAAAAAAAAAAAAAAGATATTTATATGCCTTGAAGGTTTGAAAAAATTTCAGGTCTTATGAATTACTGTATATTTATGGGGACAGTGAAGTCTTCAACGTTATCTTCTGTTACACGAAAGTTGGGGAAACATGTAGCACAGCTTGATAAGTAAAATCATCTGTGCTTATCAGTAATACTGTTTAAGTCCTTATTTTTCCTTAATGGGGAGGAAATAGTTAATGTACAGGCTTTTGGTCCATGTCTTTCCCACTTTTTTGATGCTTTTCTATGTGCTCAATGTAGTTAGCCGGTATTATATTTACAGTAGGCAAAGTAAGCATTCTCTTACCTCCAGTTTTTAAAATAACTAACACATGTAACTTTCTCCCCTTATATTCTAGGAACTCTGAAAGCAGAATGTGTCATCTAAATCTGTGGCACTCAGTCATCATCTGCTAATTTTCACATTAGCACTTCTTAAATTGGGAGATTTCCTATAAGTGATATTTTAGGGTTGGTAAAACATTTTACAGTTTAGGCAGTATAGAATGACATGTAGTGAGCATTTATAAATAGTCTGTTAATTAGTTTTAACTTAATTTGACTTTGGGAAGTACAAAATAGAGACAAAACAAATATATTGAATATACACACAAGTTGTATAAGTTTACATAACGCACTCAAATGGCATCATGTTTGGGGATGGTGGCTAAGTTCTATGTAAATAGATGATATGATTACTATCTTTAGAGGATCATATTTTTTGATGGTACAAAAAATTGCATCAGTATACCAACTGAGCAAAAAAGACTCTAGGAGTAAGTGAGTGTATTTAGTTTGAGTCTGGAGCTAACATTCAGATTCCACTTGAAATGTGCCAAATTTAAACTCAGTTTTACCATCACAGAAATAGTAGAGAATCTGTGTGAGAGTAGAACATTAGAAGATGCATAAGTTAATATATTATTTAAAAGAGAAACTGAAATACCATTGGTAAATTTATGATATGCAAGGGAGGAGAGTAATATAAGGAATTTATTTGTCCTAAGATTTGTACTGTGCTAGCTCTATACTGAAAAATATTTTGTTAAGTAAGGATTAATAGATAATGTCATAATAGTATCAACTAGGAAATACTAGTTTATTCAAATTACAAATATAAGTCTTTGAGTAAATGTGCTATCTAGGTACACAACTCCATGACTAACCCAAACACACCTAGAAGTATGATCTTACAATCTCTAGGGTGGGTCCCAAATCCAGTCAAATTGATATTCCATGCTCCACATATGCCACAAAAATTTCTGTATAAAACATTTGTGGAAGAAATTAAAGAGGTCATAGGAAAATAAACATCTTCTACTCATCATTTGGAAGAATCAGTATTGTTACTAATTGTTACTACCCAAAGTAATGTGTAGTTTCAGTGTAATTACTATCAAAACATCAACAACATTTTTCAGTACACTAGAAAATTATAAAATTTGGATGGAACTGCAAAAATCCCTGAATAGTAAAAGCCATTTTTAGCAGAAAGAACAAAGTAAGAGAATTGACTCTACAGAAATTTAAAATATACTGCAAAGTCATAATTATCAAAACAGGATGGATGGTATAAGCATAAAAATTGACACACGTTAATGGAAGAGAAAGAATATAGAACTTAGACAACAACCCATGTGTACATAGACAACTGATTTATTTTTTATAAGAATACTAAAAGCATACATTGGAGAAAAGAAAATCTTTTCAATAAATTCCTGGATAATTGGACATACGTAATGCAGAAAAATGAGTACACTTCTATCTCCTCGGTGTTTACAGAACTTAACATGGATTAAGAACTAAAATTTAAGACCTGAAACCACTAGCAGAAAACTTAGGAGAAAAGCTTCAAGACATTGGAATGGACAGGAATTCTTTTTGTATAAGACTCCAAAAGCATAGGAAACAAAAGCAAAAATAGAAAAGTGGGATTACATCACACTTAAATACTCCTTCTCAACAAAGCAAGTGATCATCACAGTGACGAGATAGTCCACAGCATAGGTAAAAATATTTGTAAACTATATATCAGACATGAGGTTAATATCCAGAATATATAAGGAATGCCAAAACTTAGTAATAAATAAGGAAAGTATAAAACTTGATTAATAAATGGGTATTAGACCTAAATAGTTATTTGACAAAAGAAGTCCCGGAAATAACCAGCAATGAAAAAGAAAATGCTCAGAGTTGCTAGAGATCAAAAGCATAGTGAGTTACCATGCACTCTAGTAACAATGTCTGTTTTCACAAAGACAGATGATAACAAGTATTTTGAGGATGTGGAGAAAAGAGAACCCTTGCCTAGTATCTGTGGGATTGGTAAATAGCTATTATGGGAAGCAATGTGGAAGTTCCTCAAAATATTACAAATCTAACTATTATGTGATGTATCAATCTCACTACTGAGTATTTATTCAAAGGAAATGAGCAAAAGGAAATGAAATCCTTCTTTCAAAGAGATATCTGCCCTCTATATAATTTGCTGCATTTTTTTTTCCTCGCAGCATTGTTCACAGTAGCAAAAAGTTGAAACAACCAAAGTATTCATTGCATGAATGGATAAAGAAAATGTGTTATATGCATATAGAAAAATACTACTCAACCATAGGTAGGGAATGAAATCCTGTCATTTGCAGCAACATGGATCCTAGTGGAGATCATTAATGTTAAGTAAAGTAAGTCAGGTACAGAAAGACAAGTACCTCATGATCTTATTCATACAGTATATAGAATTTAACGAAATGTTCATTGTATAGCTGTTGGATATCACATATTGGGGAGAATAAGAGGAAGGGAGAGACAGAGAAAGGTTTATCAATGGGTACTAAATTCCAGTTAGATAGGAACAAGAAGTTCTGGTGTGCTATTATACAGTAGGGTGACTGTAGATAACAGTAATTTACTGTTCATTTAAAAAAGCTACTGCAAGGGTTTTGAAAATCTCACCACAAATAAATGATAAATGTTTGAAGAGAGAAATGTTTTTACCTGATTTAAACTTTATACAACATATGTTCAAAAACATATTAGTACCCTGCTAATCTGTACAGTTTTTATGTTTTTCTGTATCAATGAAAAACTCACTTTCCATTTTTTAGGTACTCTTACCAGTATTGGTTCAAAAGGAGAGTTTTCAGGTTCAATAAAGGGTTGTATTTATCACATTTCCTTAAAATTTTTATGTGAATTCTTATGGTATTAATTAGTACTATATCTCCCTTCCAAATGGAGTTGTCAGACTCAGATTGTGGAAAGTAATACATTCTGCATGTGGGTAAACCTAGGTTTTCTTCTTGGCTTTACTAGCTATGTCCTGGTGTAATTTATTTAACTTCTGAAAACTTCACTTCGTGCTTTAGAATGAGTTGATTAAATAATATTTGAGGTCCTATGTAGCTTTAACATTGTATACTTCAGGCAGCTTTATATACTCTTTTTTTTTTTTGCTTTGTCCTTTAAAGTTCTATGCCGATTTCCATGGAGCTCTTTAAAATTATAAGGCATTTGGGCTCCTTCCAGAAGGACTTTAATACTATGTCTAACTAGAAGTTCCAGAATCTATATTTTTTAAATGTCTACTCATTATATATAAATAGTTTAAAGAACAATATAGAGGAACAAAGTAGGAAAGAGAAGATAGGGCTTTTCTAATGGGAAGGGGACCAAGAGATGGAGGGAATGGCAAAAGGGGGTAGGGGTGGGTCAGTAAGAAGAACTAAGATGCGTTTTG